CATGGGCTGCTTTATCGGCTTCTTCCCCTGAGTTAATTTGGATTCTAGGTGAAATTAATTCAGAGGCCAAGCTTTGAAACTGCTTCCAATCTGTGAATTTATGAACCAGCTCTGAAAGATTCCTAGTTTTAACATGATCTAGCAAGTGGAAAACGATTGGTAGGTGATCTGAGTCCAGAATATCAGAGACAATGACTTCTAACAGCCGGATATTCTTGTGCACAACAATATCGAGCATGTCACCATTTCCCGTAGTAGAGTAATGAGTGGAACATTGTGGTGCTGAAGTTTCAAACTCATTTATATGTAGTAAATTCAATAGTTTCATGCCTGAATGGTTGCAAATGACGCTATTCCAAAATGGATGTTTAGAATTCAGATCTCCTGCTAGTATCGACTTATGTCTAAACCTTAACACTTCTCAGACTGGACGCCTAGGCCTAGGCGTTTGGGTTTTAAACATGGCAGACCGGTCGCCTAGATTTAGGCTCTTAGGACACGTTATGTTGCAATGCACTATTCCTCGCTTTGGTGTCCACATGTCTGTAAAAATACTGCGTAGCTGACCTTCGGAATGTTTCTTTTCCGAGTCAGCAACGTGACCACACTCTATTCCCCTCTTACTCTAAAGAGAAGTCCCTTTGTTCAAGTTGAAGCTTCTATGTGTGAGGCAAGATATTCTCAGTGTCAACATGGCTCACAGACGAAAGCAGTTGAAGGCTGCGCGAGCTCTCGGAGAAGAAGAAATCTGTGATTTGATCTCCGATGAGTTATCTGACTTGCCAACTGCTTTGTCTTCTGGTAGTGAGGGCAGTGTCAGTGGCAGTGACAGGGGCCCCCAAAATATTGTGACGAGAAGAGAAAGTGAAAGTGACAGTGAGAGCTCCGATGAAAATGCGAGTGCTAGCATTGCGGGGACAGCCACATGGGGTAAAGTGGACAAAACACCCACTTTGGGAAAGTTTACTGATGCTCCAGGGGTGAGACAAATGCCATCGGACCCTACGCAAGTGTCTCAAGTAGCTGAACTGATTTTTGGAGATAGTTTCTTTGACATGTTGTGTCAGGAGACCAACAGATACTATCTCCAACACCGTGACGCGTATGACAGTACCTATAAGGTGTTGGAAGTGGGTGCATGTCACTTCAGCAGAAATAAACATTTTTTTTTGGCAATAATCGTTCTAATGGGGTTTACAAAAAGGGATAATTTGAAAGACTATTGGTCCACTGATCCATTTTTAGAAATTTCCACTTTCAGCAAACTCATGAGTCATAAGAGATTTGAACAGATATTGTGGTGTTTGCATTTCAATAATCATTAACTGCAACCACAATCAATGGGCAGGCTTTTCAAATTCAGCCCTTATTAGACTTTTTCGTTGAGAAATTTCAGACAGTTTATAAGCCAGGGCAGCAACTGTCTTTGGACGAATCTGTAATTCCTTGGAGGGGAAGGCTTAATTTTCGAACGTATAATCCTGGGAAACTCACAAAGTATGGCCTACTTGTTCATGTAGTCACGGAAAGCACTTCAGGCTATATTGGAAATTTAGAAATTTATTCCGGTGAAGGCAAGAAATTGCAAGAAACTATTGTTTCCATTTTGGATCCCTATCTGGATCAAAATT